GATTGAAACACGATGTTCACAAAAGTCGCCTCGATAGATAAGATAGAGTTAATATACATGGCTGGGCTATTTGTTTTTTGCTGAGTTCCGTAGTTTTTTGTAAATTGTCCTCCAAACTTGTCTCAAATTAATGTCTTGAAAAGTGTCACGACAAGCCTTCGGTCGAGCGAAATTTAATTTCTATAAAACTCTGAAAAATAGAGAGATCTGATCTAACGGATTGTGATTTTAGTATAGGTACATGAATGTCTCACAATACACAAGAAATGAGCAAAATTCGTGTCTCAAGCAAAATCGACCAGACCGTTCTTACAAAGACACTCTCTTAATTTCGGCATACGATGCGCTCAGAATCTCTTTTATTGTACAGTTTCACATAAGAGAGCGCATCAAGGGTTTTATCAGTGACGCGTGCTAATGCCCAAAATAAATGCATGAAGCGTGGATTTTACAGAAAGGCAAAGCAAGCTGAGAATTGAAGTTTTTCCTTTTTTAAAACGTGTGAGGCGTGAAGTTTTCTAAAATTCGTGCTCCCTTTGCTACTTTCTGCCTTGGACACCGGGAAACTTTGTTGGAAAATAGCGGTTCCTTCACCTAGCATATTTAATCGGAGTTCCTTTATATTAGGTAAGATTAAAGGATAGTTTTTCAAACTTACATGTATAAATCTAACTATAGAGTCTAACGCTTCTGACTGTCTTTTAAATGATAATTAGCTAAGTGACTGAAGCACGAGTTTTCTATAGCCTTCGGAGTTTAAGCTCAAGTCGGTAATTAAGCTTTTTTTTAAAACGAATCAAATAGCGCGAAGTACACATTTAACTAAAATTGCCTTCGTGTTTCGTTAAAATAGTACAATAGTATGAATTTCTCTTAATTTACAGAAGAGCTGCAACCTTTAAGAACTGTAGATGTCAAGGAATACCCGAGCCGATGAGATGCAAAGGATCCTTGCTAATGTGAATATCTAGATGCAAGCGTAGTCAAGCTAGAAAGAACAGGCTTTGATCGAATTCCTCATAAGATCGCCTTGGGAAACAAAATGTAATGATGATCAGTGCGAAAGGACTCAAGAGAGTGCAAATATACAGTAATAATTGCTATGGAAGCTGTTACTTTCGTTATTACCTATTTTAGTAAATTCGTTCCCTGGAACGGGTAGAAGAGTCCATAAATACTCCAACATTCCTTCGTGCATGTGTTTGTGGTATGTGTGCAACAAAATCGAACAAATTGACCTTTCAGGCTTTCTGAGATAAGAGCGACCTTGCAAGATAAAAGACCAATACTTGAAAGTGCACAAAAGTTTTGTCTAAACTTATAGACTACTTTATCTACGAGTATTCTTTGATTTACTAATAATTTTTGAACACCTAGTTTCCAGGGTTCTTTCTCTTTGTCTCTCAGAAAAGACTCCAAGTATGAGGTTGAAGGTCTTGTGGCCGGATAGCAGGAAGCTGTAGTCGTTAAAAAAAGGCGACAGTGTCTCTCGTACACAAGTTTTATTATATTCTATTATCAATGATTATTGAACATAACTCTTCAGCTAAGACAAGTCAAAGTGGTCCAGTTATTGTATTCACGCCTCCTAATCTTCTGGCGACACACTAAGAGGAAAGTAACCCGCGGCTTGACTGGACTTCTTGCGTGACATCCAAATGATTCCCACAAGGCAGAACACAGAAATTGTTGACATGGAAACCACTGCTGGGACGGTTACACCTACAAGCAGACATTCAACAAGTTACGTTGTGATCTATAGATCTTTCTTTTTGACAACAGCAAACAACATAAATTTCGTTACATCCTTTGATAGGGTGTTTCAATAAAGGTTCCTAGATTGCCAAAGCTTTAGGATGGATTATTTTATGTTTGTGTGTCACTGCTCTCTTATTTGTCAGCGTCAGAATTCATCAAAGCATAATGGGATCTTTTTTTGATATATATACATATTTTTGGTAATATCGGTTAAACTCCATGTGTATGTGGGTAGGAAGGACAATGAATGACTCAGTCGATTGCATGAAACGGCTGTCAGTGAGGGAGCCAAGTGCGAGGGAAACTGCTTCAAGAACTTTTTCACGGTAAAAACATTGTAGCTAGTTAATCCGGTATTATTCTTTACCACTAAGAGTTGATCCAGCGTCTTCTTCATCAGCATAAAATGTTAGTGGTCCCTGGGCCAGCGAGTATATTTTGTCATCAGTGGTGACGTCACGCCTTCTCCTATCTCCTCGAAGGCATCCTTGAGCGCATCTCGACTTTGGATCTTTTGAGTCACAAACCCTTATTTGGCAATGGACAAAGAGGAATGGGTGTTTGGCAATGAATTTAAAGCTTTCTGTGGTGAATCGGAAGGTGCCTACAGGAGATGACTTCATGACACTGGTAGTTTCATCCACAGGGCACCTGAGGATAACAAAAGAAACGTTTACCACTGCTTAGAAATATGCATCAGTGCTTAAATTAAAGAATACAAGAACTTGTGTATCAGAATAAGTGAATAAGCCAAAGCACCTGGTACTGTAGAAAAGTGCAGCTATTTTTTCCTTTACATTATTTCCTACTCTCCTTATAAAACCCAAGGTTTTTTCCATCTCTGAAAACCCAGTTGCGGTGAGAAATTCAAGATTTTCACTCAAGTGTAATAAAAGCATAACTAACCCGTTGGTAATGAGAGGATATGATGTACCGTGTTTACTATCTTGCGTGGGAGTGGCGACACAGTTTTCGCCCAACACTGACAAAGTCTTGTCCTTGGATTTCACAGATGCCTCGAAGTACAGATCTTGCCTTAGTTTGACTTGCACTGGGTAGTCTTTTTCAGTATAGCGTGACTTAAACCTGGTGGATAAAAAAGAGAATCACATATTTGATGCTAAATATGATGAATGTGTAAGTATCAAACTTGTCAGGAGTCAAGGTGGTAAGTCTCTTAGCAACTGTGATTCTGCGTCGGTGGGAGAGTGTAACAGGGTAATTTAGCATTATCAAATTAGTTAATAACGTAAATTGACCACCGCTTTGAGCGTTAGTTCTTCGTCAGAGCGAATGACAGCGCTCTAACGCTTTAAACGTCTAACGGTGGCCAATTTACGTTATTAACTCAGTTGATAACACCAGCTTGCCCTGTCATCACGAGTCAGTCAGTTGGTCTGGTAATGTCATAGGCGAAAAATGTTGAATATTGGTAATAGCCTAGACTACGTTTTTAACTTCTCTCCAAAAATAATAAAATGATGAAAAAAAGGATTGATACTCTAAGAAGTTCTTAGTTCAATTTCATGTAGTAAGGGCCGTGCAGTAACAAAAATATCACCAGGTCATCTTTGAAATAACTCCTCTGAATTAAAATTTACCTGGCTATGTTAACTATGAAAACAATCGACGAAAACACCGACCAGTCAGCGATGTATGATCTCATGAAAATAATTATACTAGTTGCCATGAATCCATACAGTTGGAAACGAATTTTCTTAATTATCAGTGGATTATCAGGAGGAAAAGAAATCCATCGATATACTCATTAGATCCGGTTTAAGTTGACGAAAATTCAATTTTCCATTATAGAGTAAAAATACCATGGCATTGACTTACTGTTGGTCTGAAAACAGATCCAGGGCAACCGTAAATTTTCCTTTTCCATCTTCGTCAAACACCAGTTTCTTGGTATCAGCTTGGACTCCAACGGCGGTTGCAGCTTCAGTATTTTTATAGTAGCAGCTGAAAGGAATCTCAATCTCGCGAACTCTCGTTATAATGGCGTCATTTTTGACGGGAATCTCCATGACAGTGTTGCTGTAGACCACGGCACCCTTACCGAATCTTGCGGTTGTTCCACAACCGGTTAATGCAGTATTAAGGGTGAAGTGGGTTTTGGTTTCCTTGGCAACGCATTTGACGTCTCGGAGAGTGACATGTTCACGGTTCAAACCGAGGAGGAGGATCTTTGGTAATGTGATTGACATGTCATTTTGGCCGCACTTAACAGAAACACCGGAAGCTGAGAGAAACGAACAATAATTGAGTTAATTATAGAAACCGTCATATAGGGAAATAATGCATTTCTATTAAAAGTGAATTCCATCTTGCGTCAATTGTAATAATTTCAAGCTCAAAATGATGTCATTTGACTGCTTACCAACACAATTGCGACCATCTGGCGCCAGTGTCAGCTCGGGGTCTGGGCAGGAGCAGATATAGCTACCTTTAGTGTTAGTACACTTGTGAGAACATCCGCCATTTTTTACGTTGCACTCATTGACATCTGCAGAGTAGGACAACACAGCATTAATTGCGTTGGATTTCTTCAATTTTCCTACCGATGTGTCGCAAGCTGTTTCACCGAAATGCATTGGGAGTACAGTAGTTTGCTTAGGTATGATAGAGTAATACAAGATAAAAGTGTAGAATGTTTTGAAGTTTAGAAAAACTTAAGTGAAGATACAAAGTTCAACTCTGAAAATTATTAAAGCTGAACACTTAAAATGTTAAACGAAACTATATGCAACGGATAGTCGTACACAAGCATTTTTTAGCAGATCTCCCATACTTTCTTCCTCGTTTCAGCTTTCAGTTTACAAAATACCGTGATAGCTTTACATTTCAAAAATTGATGCTGTCAGAGAGACATGGAAAAAGGAATTTAACATCTTAAAATCCATCTTGTTTCTTATCTTAGGAAACATACTGAACATGAATTCCCAAAAGTTCATGCCCTTACCTTTTCCACTGGTGGGCGATTGACTCAAGGTAAACGCCAAAGTTATCAACAAGGAAACACCCGAGATTGACATGATAGAAGGCGAAAGGACGGAGCTGTACAATGCAGTCTATGTCCTCCGGTAAAGAGCAAAAAAAGTATATGAGAGTTCCACGAATTTCGGTTAGACTTAAAGGCAATCAGTTGACGCTCAACTAAATAGGGTGTTTTTTATTTAAATCGGCGAAGGATCGCAAATTGCAGTCTGCTTATTTGACAATTCACGAAAGACAACAGTACATATTTGATCACAAAAGATAATCATTAGCATCAGAAGGGAAAATGATGTGAAATAAAAGAACGCATACCAACGTACTAGTGTAAGTAAAAAGCCGTTGATTAATCTAAATTCATTTTTGTGAGCATCATGCACATTTTAATTCATTTGTTAACGATAAATTTCTTTTTTGAGAAGGAGTTGACACTAATTACGTAACTTTCTTTTCAAATTATGCAACTCTTAGTTGAAAGAAGTCAACTACATTGTAATCATAAACAACAGCTTCGGAAACTCTCTTATTTTTACAAACTTTCATATTGGCTGTATGAAAATCGGAAAAAAATGACAACAGCATATCTTAGCACGCATTGTGGACAAATATGTTATAACAGTGTTCTAATTGGTCAACTGTCGGGGCTAATGAACCAGACAAAGAAAAAGTTACATCATCCCTGTTGTCGTTCATTCCACCATTTCACTAACAACTAGGACAATAACGTCCTATGGGGAAAATTTTTCAGGCGGCCGATGTACAGTTTGACGACTTTATTCCTTTGACAACCTGTTAGTTTACTAAAAAAAAAACCAAAAAACAAACAGACGTGCTTGGCTCTTTTGATGACGATATCCCTATGAACCAATGAAAAGTTGAGAGAAAAAAATGTTTTCTCTGTATATAAAATGGCCATGATTTGAAGCTACTCGAGTTCTGAGGCTGTGCGTTTTGAAACATGAGGGTTGTTGCAGTAATAACGTTGGTTTTCGGCTGTACCAACCTTGTTAATGGTTACGTGGAGTCCCTCGATGGTCCTACTGCAACTGAAATGGGACAAAGCAGTGATTTTCTTCATGGAAAAACATTCATAGAAGACGAATCGTCTGGTGGTTAGTATATTTGTCAACAAGATACAAAAAATGACTGACATAATTGTTCGCTTTTCAAGACCATTTATTTCTTTATTATTATTTTTTTATCAATCTACTTCGCACATCTGTCTTCTTCGCTTAGCCGTTGTAAAGCATTTTACAGTTTCCTCTTGTATTTGCGTCTAAGTTACATAGCACGGAGACTTTCTTGATGAAGTAAGAGATAAGAAAAAGACATTTGAAATTGCCTGTTTACGTTATGTATCTCGTGTTGGTTGAAAATTTTCTTTAGTTCCCCCAATCATCCCGTGTATCCCCAATCCCTGCAAGAGAGGAGCGAAATGTCTGCCGATCTCTGGGAATGATTTCACTTGTAAATGCCCGGCGGGCACCACCGGAAAAACTTGCAATAAAGGTAAGCAAGGTGCTTGAAGATAAATATCATCTTTCACATGTTCTATTCATTTGAATGAGGTGGTTGTCAGTACCATATAATCGTGTCCTTATGTGAAGGCCACGTGAAAGATCCTTAGATGAATGTCAAGTATAGTTCTTAAATATGACATATTTGAATAAAATGGGGTATTTTTGTGGTTTTTCCTCTGTTTTGTTGACCTGTATCGTTTTTCTGTTAAGCGAGATCCCCCAACTGATTTCAAGATAAAGTTAAAACGAAAAATTGTCACCAAACGACATCTGGACACTGTTTGCGTACAGCGCGCGTAATATTCATTTTAGCTGAACTGTTGTTACAGATGTCGACGAATGTGCAAACAACAATGGCGGATGCTCACACGATTGCAGCAATACAGATGGAAGTTATGAATGTCTTTGTCCTGATGCAGAGCTGTCATTAGCTGATGATAAACATACTTGTGAAGGTAAATTGCAGCCGGAAAAGCCCGGAAAGAACTTAAAAATCCAATTCAAAGCATAGAAATACGATAAGACGAGTATGTCTAAAAACTATATTTCATTTGAAATAGATTTAACTGTTTTTCGGCTTTCTCAAACTCAATGGGAATAAAAAAAACTAATTCTTTCAAAAGAAATTATTTCGGAAAATGTGTTTCGAAAAAGATATTCCCTTGCTATCAAAGTTAACAGAAAATAAGGTTTGTGCCTTTGTATTTATTCCTAACTCTTTGAAGTTATCATAAAAGTCCATATAATGACAAAAATTCATCTCGTTTATTTCTGAAAGCCCGAGGAGTTACCGTCCAATGTCTGCAAAACCATATGTCGCACCATTACTAAAGAAGGCAAAGTAAAAACAAGTAAATTATCTGAAGTGTGGTAAACTGCAAGCGACCAGGTCGCAAATGGTATTAATTTTGCCTCTGATCGGTTAAGATGGTAGCAAAGAATGAAATAAAACCAGTATAAACCAAGCTTGCTTGCGGCAATGGATTGAAAAATTATTGTTTACAACTAACACAGTTTATCCTTTTTCTAGCTCAAGGAGTCACTGTGGATTGTCGTCAAAATGACATGTCCATTAGTATCCCCAAGCCCATACTCAAAGGAATGGACAAGGAACATCTTCGCCTCCTGGACCCGAAGTGTGGAGCAACAGAGACTAAAACGCATTTTGGTCTCAAAACACCGCTGACTGGCTGTGGCACTAAAAGAAGGCACACCAAGGCCGCCATTGTGTACAGTAACAAGGTCCTGGAGATTCCACTGAAAAAATCTGATCTCATCACGCGCGTCAGAGAGATTGAGATCCCATTCAGTTGCTATTATTCCAACAGCAGATTGGCTACGGCTGTTGGATTAAAACCAAATAACAGAAAACTGGTCTTCATGGAAAAAGGGAAGGGAAAATTTACAGTTGTCTTGGAGATATTTCACAGTCAAGGGTAATGTTAAAGGTCCTTACCAGTTTCTTAACTCCCTTAAAATAACTAATAACGAGGAGCCAATGAGATTTAACTACTCTAACTGCGGGAGAATAACTGCAACCCTGTAGTTTTGTTTGAACATCTGCTTATTTCTTGAGGTGGTGGCTAAGATCACTTAGTGTGCGGAGTAAAGGTTATCAACATTTGAGCAGTTATCAACTCCATTTACCTGCTTTCATTCCTCTTCTATTGGTTCTTGTCCAATTTTTTTTAATGAAATATGCAGATTATTGAATGTACGGCGTTCACGCGTTAATCGCTCTTAAAATTTGCAACACTTAGATTGTGTTCTATGCTGAAAATCGTTGCAAACGATGATTTTAATACCAGGTTCTAGAGATCTTTAAATACCGTAATTCGTTCATGGCAATAAAAAGACCAAACTTCAACTTGTATTTCTTGTTCGATCAGCACATTGACAAAGAAAAATGACCCAAGGGATTTTTTCTGTATTTAAGCTTTCCTTATAAAATATAAAAATGCAAAATAGAATTCGTCTATTTATCGACAAGTTATTGAGTTTAAGCAAAAAAAGCTTCTACATGCATAATTTTATTTATCTTTTTTTTGCAGATTCACCACAGCGTACGAATCCGATGATTTTCCTATATCTTTGAAACTCCGCCAAAGTATGTTCGTACAAGGAAGAGTCGACAGCAAAGATAAAAAGTTATCAATTTTGCTTAAAAAGTGTTTTGCCACGCCCACTGCTAACGAGAATGATGCCACAAAACATGATATCATTTCTGATGGGTAAGCCTGTTACATCAGTATCTCTCTCTTTTTTTTGTCCTAGAAACTCTTTTGTCAATTTTACATAACATCGACATTGACATTTCCCACAAATGGAAAATAGGTCCAAGGTACGTGCACCTGGTTACTTTAATAATTTATCTTTTTTTTTCATCTTGCAGCTGTGCTGTCGACGATACAGTCCAACAGCTTCCCTCCCCAGTAGGCAAATCTCGTTTCAGCCTCGAAGCCTTTCAGTTCGTCAAGCAGCCCTTCGTTTTTATACACTGTCACGTGGTTATCTGCAACGCATCTGACCTTAAGTCGAGGTGTGCCCGAGGATGTGAATCGGGTGACCGAGTGAGACGCGAGCTTGGAGAACAAAAGGAGTATTCGCTGGCACAAGGACCAATAACACTAGACTACCAGAATGCTTATGAACAAGAAGATGAAAAGAATACTAATGATAAACCTGCCAAAGAAGGTAATTTGAGTAAGCTCACCACTATCTTTACTGATTTGATGGTTGGCAGTAGTACAAGCATTCTTACAGATGGAAATTAAGATCAAACTAAATCCTCTTGCTTCTCGTTTTTTGTAAAATGGGTAATATGTACTATCCGGGGCAAGTTTCATGATCACTTTGATCTAAATTTATGAAAGAAAAGCTCGATTCGAGCTCACAACCAGCCCAAGATATCAGCTCAAGATTCGGAATGATCACACCAATAACAACAACAACAAATTTAAGAACCTTTAGCTCAATAAATGATTAAAATGAAGAGTCATAATTTTTCTTTTATCACTGTGATGACATTTAAATGAACGACATCATTTGTTTTACTTTGTGGGATCACCTTCTTTCTTTTATTTTATGACAACTCCAAGTTAGCTTTAGTTTTATTTTGTTTTGTTTTTTGTGCGTCAAATTTTAAGTAACAACTGTGAAATTTCTTTTGACTTTTCAGCGGATATGAACATCCCAATCCTTACTGCTCTGGCCGCCTTTACAGCTCTCACTGTGCTCGGTTTAGCGTTCACAGCAAGGAGAAGAATGTTAAAATAACTCTGTCAATTTCAGTGCAAAAAAGAAATGGAAAATTCCTGTAAAAGCTTCAGTTTACCGAATAAAAAACTGTTGTTGAACTATTCCATGGTGTTTTTCGTCTTCAAACTTCTTTACTGTGGGCGATAATATATATTTTTGCGTCGCACTTGCAAACCAATCCTAACATTTAAATCTACTGAAGCACGCTTTAGTATACTATTAAACCACAGGAACGCTCTTTTTATCTCAAATAATAAATGTTCAACTCTTTGTTTACAAATTCCAGATTATGAAAACTCCGTAGGTCCAATAGAAAGAGAACATTTTTTTCTCACTGAAGTTGAACTGGTCCTGTAGACCTGCATAGTTAAAGAAAGTTGAAACTCTCGCCTCTTTCGTACCCTGACAGTCTTATCAACTTGCCGGGGTAAACCTCGCTGTGATAGCATACGCAGAATGATAGGACAACCTGATAAAAGTGTTTGCCACTGAACGTACCTGAATGAGAGAAAATTGCGAAAATATTCTTTTCCCTTTATAAACAGTGTGCTTAGCTAAAGCTCCATTCTGGAATTTACAATAGATGGTAACAAAAACTTGGTATACATTAATTTAAACCGCTCTCGCCTATTGATCAGAAGTCATTTGAGGTGGACGTAATATTTGCTCGTCATGACATGGTTTGCATTTTGGCAGTTGAAGGGGAATTTTCTCAAAACGATTCAATTCTTGGTAAAGCGTGGGAATAATACAACCTTGGCTAAAAAGGACCGCTCTTTACCTTGTACCTGCCAAGCAAGTGCAGGGTTTCATTCTTTACTTTACAGTCTCGCTACTACGATGTGCAAATTTCGTAATCACCATAGTTTATCATACGTCAAAAGCTCTCTTGATTTGTCTATTGTGTTTTAAGGACAAGTGCTGACATGGAAATTGGGCTTTTAACGAGAATAGATTTACTCGTGACCAGAGAGCCAGAAAAGCGTATCTTTCAGCCTAAGAAAAACACAAATTTGAGCAAAAAAGACGTTATTTCGCACAAATAGATTTACACTTCGTTCATCTAGTCATTTTCCCATTATTTCTCTTTCAACATATTTTTGATAAAATTTTTCAATATTATCTAATACAAATCTTTATTTTCCAATGCCGGACATTTGTGTAATTTATATCATTTAATATAAAACTGGCGTAGGCAAACCGCTGGAGTAGGAGGACTGGGCGAAAATAAACTACCAAGGTGCAGTAATTGAGGCAAACCTCTCTGTAACCAGGTTAGGTCTAAATTATTCTTCTTAATTTTTTTTTTAGCGGGTGGTATTCGACAACTCTATAACCAGTCTTAAGGTTTTGTAACACCTTAGAAAAAGCACTCGAAAAGTGTTATGGCTGGAGATATGAGTGTTGCGAGGGGCTTAGTGTTGTTTGGTAACTAACAGCACCAAAGTTCAACTGCTCTTCACAGAGTTTTGTTGCGCTCACTCAAACTTGTATGTGGGTTACCGGCCACATAAATGCAAATTCCGAAAAAATGTTTTAATAGATATAAGCCGAAAGAATTTGATTTATTTATTGCATATTTTTCTCTTTTTTCTAACTACACAGTGGACAATTTTGATCGAAACTAAGAACTGAAAAAACAGCAAACGCAAGCAAAAAATTTGTGCAGACTTTTTTTAACAAACAATTTCCTAATGGAAAAGAATAAAAAATCACATAGCTAATTGCGTCGTATTCTTTTATAATTTCATCTCTTTAGTTTGATAAGAAAATTAACCGCTAGAAAATTAAGGACGAATAAAGAAGTTTTGATACATGAATGATTTCAGTGGATGTCGACCGTTAAAATTTACGCCACTTTCAGTATCACCTTGTGTTACTAGCTTTTCCATGCTATTCATTACTCGTGAGGGAATTACATCATTCTTTTATTTCTCCAACGCTGTGAACTCATAGTTTTGTTTCACCTGGAAATTGCGCATGCAGACAATTGTGAGAAAGAGCATTTTTCGCAGTTTTCGGTCATTTCAAAGCGAAAAAACCTTTTCTGTTGGATGAAACACGCCTTTCTGAACAATAAAAAGTCGCAAGAAAATGCCCTTCTGTGCCTTGTAGAAAAAATAAGATGTCCTCGCAATGATTAAACAAGGAGTCAAACCCCCTCAAAAGAGACGAGAAATCTGGAAATTTATCGTCTTTAGAGAGGACCATGACGTTCAATTTCGTAACTGTTTTGATGCTTTGCAACGCTCTCTTCGTGAATGGCAAAGGTCTCCTACAAACAGAAAAAGATCGGATTGATACTGCTGACCTGCTTAAGCAACTGCAAGAACCTGAAGATGATTATTTCCCTGGAAAAAGTGATAACCCTTTACCTCATGAAATGTTCCTGGAGGACTCTTCTGATGGTAAGAGCACTACCAAGAGTCACTTTCTTTATCTCTTGGGCAAACTTTCAGGAGTCAGCACCACTCTTAGTTCCATTATTTCTTAATCATTTCGATTTGCGTAACCAACTGATCGTTTGTCCCATCATATCTTACAACAACAACAAAACAAAATAGAATAGCTTTCCTCGTGATATAAATTACGTTCAATATCACGTTAAATTATTCAACCGTTAACTTTTATTGCTCATGTGTACTAGCTTTAGATTTCAGGCTCAGCTACATAAACTGATCAATGCGGCTACAAAAAACGAAGGAATGATCGTCATATTGTCTTGTTTTTGTCTTGAGCGCTTGTTGGAACAATTGAAATGACCTCGGATTTCAACTTGTCTCCCACGATTTGAGAGGCTAAGGTTGTTTTATATAATTAATGTCCTCGGTGACAATTAAAGATTTGTGGTGGATGATCAGATTGCAAATAAAAACTTCGGTTGTTTGACTTCTTGCACTTTCTTAGAAGGATATTCTTAATTACGTGCATTTCGATTGAGTATCGTAAAACTAAAACCAAACATGCTACTCATAATGGCCAATCAGAAGAAATTAAAATAGCTTTAGGAGCCAATGAGAACTAAACTGCCGACAGCGCGGGATAACGCATGCGAGCAAGTCGTGATTTGTTTCACTTTTGAATCTTATTGGTTGAGAGAGTGGACCAATCACAGAGCGAAGTAAAGTAAAGCCAAAGGAATCCCGGATTATTCTCGAAACTGGATTGAAAAAAAGAAGACAAAGTTGACAAAAAACTGAATTATCTGAAGCGTGGTAAACTGCAAGCGACCAGGTCGCGAATGGTATTAACTTTGCCTCTGATCGGTTAAGATGATTGTGAAGTATAAAGTACGCACTACCAGTATAAAACAAGCTTACTTGCATCAATCGATTGAAAAATTATTAAACGAATATCTAAGCGATCCTCGCAGTTATGAACACTACTCGATGCTTGAGTAGTAGTGAAAATAAGGCCTGAAAAAAATCCGGCCTCCACTACTTCAGTAGTGTTCATAACTGCGAGGATCCCTTACATATTTGTTTCTTCAACCGAAGTTCACTTAAATAATTTTCATATATTTACAGTCATTCATTCACCACTTCGAGGGTTTATTTGGAAACAAAATGATAACCAGCTTCCAGTTGGCTTGTTAGCTCAGTTGGTAGAGCACTGTACCTGCATTTTTTCTTCAGGCCTTGTTTTCATTTCTACTTAAGTAATGTTCATAACTGCGAGGATCGCTTACATATTCGTTTCCTCAACCGCAGTTCACAGTTCTAGAATTTCTTATATTTACCGTCATTTGGAAAATTATTGTTTACAATTTTCAAAATTTATTATTTTTCTAGCTCAAGGAATCACTGTGTATTGTCGTCAAAATGACATGTCCATTACTATCCCTAAGCCCATACTCAAAGGAGTGGACAAGGAACATCTTCGCCTCCTGGATCCGAGCTGTAAGGCGACAGAAACTCCCATGTATTTCAGTCTCCAAACGCCACTGACTGGATGCAAGAGTTCTCGCAGATCATCCAAATCTGCCATTGTTTACAGTAATACGGTCCTAGAGATTCCCTTGAAAAACTCAGATATTATCACACGCATCAGAGAGATCGAGATCCCCTTTAGCTGTTACTATTCCAACAGTGAAATCGCTGCAGCCGTTGGTTTCAAACCAAAGAGCAGAAAACTAGTCTTCTTGGAAAAAGGGAAAGGAAATTTTACGGTGCTTTTGGAATTTTACCATAGTAAAAGGTACGAAAGAATAAGCGTATCAGTGTAGGTTTGTAGTGGTTTGATGATCGATCACTTATATTATCTCGTCTCGAGTGGCTAAAACTTTTTATCGATCTAAAGTGAATATGGAACAAGGGCTAAATAAATTTTAACCCTTGAAAAATAACAAATATTCAAAGTTTTTTTCTTAAAATAATTTCACCAATCTCTTTTAGATACATCAAGCCATACGGTCCTAAAGATTTTCCAATACCTTACAAACTTCGCCAGCAAATGTACTTACAAGGGAAAGTAGATAGCAAAGATAAGCGGCTGTCAATCATGTTTGAAAATTGTGTCGCCATACCCACTCCTGACGAAAAGAACGCTGTAGGACTCCAAATTTTAACTAATGGGTAAGTGATTAATTTCTTCACATCTTTCATCAAAACCATTACTTTATTGTATGGAAAAATAATGAGATTATGAAGGAAAGTCAATTGAGACAGAGTACATTTTAGTTGATTTGTTTTTTGTTCTTCTCTTGGTAACAACAATTTATTGTCGTGAAGAGAGAGGCTACTTTACTATTTATTCAGCCCAGAAATTAAACTGGGAAAGTAGCGACAGCCCATCAAACAGAGAAACAAAGGAGCCGGTCACAACTCCAGGTAGACAAATGGAGCTCGATACGAACAAAAGCATCAACAAACTTTATTTGACTCCTTTCTTATTAATAACATTTATGGATATATTAATGATATAAATGAAAAAATAACGCGCTTCTGATTGGCTGAAAACGAGTCCATTTTCCATGTAGCGCGGGTGAAAATTGTAAATTGCGCGCGCTGTTAAAATTTTGTCTGTCTTGACTATCTGTGCTGCTCTTTTTCACTTAAATTATAGATAAGTAATAACATTGTTTCTCGTGAAATTTGGAGCTAATAGGAACATGTTAATTTTTCAAAGACTACGAATTGCACTCGCCCTACGGGCTCGAGCAGTGAAGGAACGGGAAATGCTCGTGTTTGAGACTAGCCCTTCGTTAGAGCTCTGAAGAAGGGCTGACGCTCGAAAATTCAGCCTTTTAAATCTTTACGGTGGCCAAGTTATGTTTTAACTCAGTTTTTAACATTAAATTACCTGCTATACTCTCCCACCGACGCAGCACCACAGTTTCTTTAGAAACTTACCCCCTTTATTCGTTAGTTCTCATTAGCTAAGAAAAAGACCTGTGCAAGGCTGAGAAGAGTCAAACGAGATAAAATTTATCTCTGTGACCTTGTCTGTGGTAAAAAACATTTATTTATTTTTTTATTTCCTCTCTCTGCAGTTGCGCCGTTGATGATACCGTTCAATTTCATCCCGCTCCCACAGGTTATTCTCGCTTCAGCATGGAAGCCTTCCAATTTGTTAAGCATCCCTTCGTGTTTATTCACTGCCATGTGGTGATCTGCGACGCATCAGATTCTCAGTCAAGATGCGCCCGAGGTTGCGTGCCGAGTCCGCGGCGAGAGCGACGCGGGATCGAAGAAAAACGAGTCTATTCGTTAATTCAAGGACCACTAACGATCGATGACTCTTCGGAAGAATTTGAACCATCGAATGACGAGACGGCGCAAAACCCACCGGAGATTGAGGGTGAGTAGAAGTTAAACGAGTAAAAACCCTTCGCTCATCTTGACTTCAAAACGATTTAAGTTTGCAGGTGAAAACCTGGATAAAGATAGGAACTTGTGATGTAAGATGAACGTGCTAGTTCCCATTTAGAGGAAGGATATATTTTGACTTGTTCATAGATTAATTAGTGGTGATTAAAGCCATAAATTATTTTTTTCCTCGATCAGTTGTCACATATCACCATGTTATGAGACAAGGATCTCGCTTTCATTACGAATAAATAAATTGCATTCTTCTTTATTTCGGTGTGCACATGAAAAATCGAAAAAAAAATCTCGTTAATATCCGCGTTACAAGTTATTGATTACAATTGGTTATTGCGTACAAGTTATTGATTTCTGAAAGAAAAACTCTTTAACGCCCAGGAGAACATAAATTAGAAAAAGCTGATAAGAACAGGAAGTTGAATGATTAATTTTAATTTTCCCATCAAATTAGAATAGTGTGAATATTATATAGAAATTAACCGTTTTTTTGGGCTTACAAACACAACTACGGTTCAGTCGATTAAAAACAGGGATAATTAAGGATGAAAGAGACTGTCGCGCACTGCAGAAGACGAAGTTTTTGTTGATAAAAAGAATATACTTAGGCTTTTTAAGATGTGTAGACTATTATGTGTCTCCATTGTAACAGAGGTTAAGAAGCTTTAAACTATCATCATTTCTATTTCATTTCAGTTGAAGTCAATATGCCGATTGTGGCTACAATGGCCGCTGCGACAGCTTTTACTGTGTTCGGTGTCGTTTTTGTGGCTTTGAGAAGCAGACCACACCAGAATTGACGACTGGCAGCGTAATTCTCGCTAAACTTGATAAAAATCAATAAAATGTTTCTTAAAACCTTGGTGATTTGTATCACGGTAGTACATAGAAATGCAAAACTTTGAGCCGTACATTTGAGAGAATTTCTCTACGATATCTTCCCGCATTAATCCTCTGTCATACAAATTTTTATGATGCTAGTTTAGAGAATTTGGTGTTGGATCGATTAATAAATAAATCCCCTAATTGATATTTTTTTAATAATATACAAGCAAAAAATTGTTCGCTTCTGATAGACTGAAAACGATTGCATTTTTCATGTAACAAGTGCAAAGTTGTGACAAGAACGCAAGTTATAACACGAGTGCAAATTATAGATAGCACGCGCGCGCTGTCAAAACTTTTTCTGTCTTGACTTTACTGCGATGCCTTTTTCATGAAAATTTTTAATAAGTATTGACATGAGTTCTCGTGCAATTGGTTTAAATAAGCGCTTGTAAATTTTTCAAGGATTAAAAATTACACTCGTCCTAAGGATTCGTGCAATTTTGTTGTCTTCAAAAATTTACTCGTGCTTACTAACAACATGTTGCACTCGAAAACATGTTGTTACCCATACTTAATCTCATCACATATATGCATGATATTGTATAGATATTCCAAAGAGAAGTTCTGTCTTCGTAATTCATGGAGGGTTAAAGAAAAGAAAGCATCATTTTTTATCTCTGGCAATAGTTGCTCACACTCTACGTATTGCTTTCTCCTGACAATTTTTGCGAGGATCTTCTGGTTTCATCTTTCCACCGCAGTGCAAATATGTGAATTTTCATATATCTAAATCTTCATTCACTCGGATGTTTATTTGTACCCAATTCATTGACCAGCTCCCAGTTGGCTTGTTAGCTCAATTGGTAGAGCGCTGCACCGGTATCGCAGAGGTCATGGGTTCAAATCCCGTACGGGCCTGAAATTTTTTTCAGGTCCTACTTACAACTACTAGTTTCAGTAGTGTTCTTAGCTGCGAGGATCTTCTGGTTTCATCTTTCCACCGCAGTGCAAATATGTGAATTTTCATATATCTAAATCTTCATTCACTCGGATGTTTATTTGTACCCAATTCATTGACCAGCTCCCAGTTGGCTTGTTAGCTCAATTGGTAGAGCGCTGCACCGGTATCGCAGAGGTCATGGGTTCAAATCCCGTACGTGCCTGAAATTTTTTTCAGGTCCTACTTACAACTACTAGTTTCAGTAGTGTTCTTAGCTGCGAGGATCTTCTGGTTTCATAATTTTTTTGTTGTTCTCTTTCCTTCACTTGTTTTAGGATCCCTTTCACAAAATAGTAGTCTTGGTGGGAGAGAAAACCTAATGAAACAAATGATCGCTCGTTTCTAGAATAATCATGCATCTTCCTGCGTTGTCACTGTCGTTAAAAGTACTTTAAACATTATTCCAGCATATTAGTTCCTTTATAGTGAATATTAGTTCCGGTACTGAAGTAAATTTTTAATCACCTAAAAAAATGAAAAAACAAAGCACTTCTTAAAACAGAAACAATATGTTTCGCCGAAGATCTTCTAGCCCTCATGGGCGAAAAGGAATAAAACTGCATAATTAACCTTAAAAAAGGCCGCTACGTGACAAGGTAATACACTAGTGTAATTAAATATTATCAACTGAGTTGATAACGTAAATTGGACACCGTAGAGAGTTTTAAAGCTGACATTTCGAGCGTTTGCCCTTCGTCAGAGCGAATGGCTAAGGGTTTCGAAATGTCAGCTTTAAGACTCTCTAAGGTGGCCAATTTACGTTATCAACTCAGTTGAATATAATTAATTACCCTTTTATACCCTCATAATGACGCAGCACCACTGTTTTTTTTCGAAAACAACCCCCTTAATACACTGGAGGTTGATTGTTGACTTCAAGCGGATTCAAGGGTTAGGATCAGCGATTGTGTCATTGTAGTATATAGAAATGTAATTCTTTGAGGTGCGCTTGAGAATCTCATTACGATTTCTTTACAAATTAAAGGAGATTAATGCATCCTGTGGTTCTCCTCCTATCTTTGACAATCTGTACATTGCTTTTTTCATCTTCTCTTCAATATATTTTTGGTTCCCTTCAATATAATGGATATTGATAGCTTCGGTGAGAGAGAAAACTTAATGAGATATATAATGGCTCGTTTCTAGAATATTACTGCACCTTCAAGCATTATCACTATCGCTAAAAGTATTTTTAATCATTATTCAAGCTCATTGATTCTTTAAGACACATATTATTATATCGTACCAGCGTCTTCGATAATTGAAAGGAAATGACAACTAAAATAACTCATTCACGCAGATAAGTCGCAACAGCTGCCAATAGCTAAACCTATCCTTCTCTGATGGGGACGTAGGCGGGATACACGAACGAAAAGTAAATTTAAATATAACAGCGCTTTTTTGGGAATAACTTGTACTTTAAGCATACTTTGAGAAATTTGAATAAATTTTCCAATGAAAAAAAAAACAATGTGTATTGCTGCACAGTTGCACTGTCAAATCTAAAGATCTAATCGTTAGCAAAACAAATAGAACTATATAATTAGGCGTGATAAAGCTGCTATGTGACAGTATTAGTTGTTAACTTGAAGGGTAGGAGGAATTAATTACTTTACTTGAATAGCAAAATTTTTTTTTTAAAAGGGCCTGATGTTAAACGTGACTGAAAGCTTCCTTCTGTACCTATCCGAAGCGAAATATTTCACAAACCATTTTTCTCACCATTTCACGAAGCTCGCGGTATCGCCAACAATAAATGAGTGGGTTTAGGGAGGAATTTAGTAGCACCAAAAACAAGGAAGCGCGATTAGCAACCAGAAATATCATTTTAAATCTTTCAACTAACATCAAAACTGAACAGGCTAAATTTGGAACGTAGCAAACCATTAAGACAATGTAGACAAGCAACGCGCTGATGGCGGATTTCTTTTCCCGAAGAACTTTCACGACGTGGTCATTTTGCAATTGGCACTGGGTCTGAATTTGATTCCTGTGATATCTTGCAATTTTGTAAATATAGATGTATATTGCAGTAGATACGGCAAGTCCATGTAGTTGAGCTGCAACAACAACTGCAAGGTTATAACGTGGTATTGAGATAAATGCACTTGCAATAACAAAACTTATCAACCACACGGTCATCAGGACGATCCATACCCGCTTTGAAGTGACAAGTCCTTGGTATCGTAGATGGAGAGAGATGGCCAGAAATCTATCTACAGCAATTGCGCTTATGGTGAAGAACGATGCCGAGACCATAGCTAATATAAGGAACATAAAGAGACTTATAGTTGCTGGGCAAAGCATGTGAACTGTTTGGTTGTGGTTTCCATTTGCTTCCTTGTACAAGACGATCGCAATAATTGCACCTAACATTAACTGCACAATTGATCCTACTGCCAAGTCGGAGACGGCAAGGTTTATGAACAACTTTCTTAAAGTTTCGGGCAATGACGACGCTTTCCACAGAGCACGGATAACAAGTAGGTTTCCAAGAGTTGCAATGAAAGAAAACGCGAAAGTTAAGACGCAATAAGATAACATAAAAGTCCTGTGATAACGAACAAGTCTCTCGTATTCTTCCAGTTTCTCTCTGCAGAGGTCGGTAACCATATTGAATGGTTACCGACTGAATGAATGGTTATTCTCACTTGTTTTTCAATAAATCATATCCAGTTTTTGACGTTCTGTTCAAGGCTGTATTATGAAAATTTGCATGGCGAACGGTAATTATCAAGAACCGATTTTATAAACGCTTTTCAAAGCAACAAAATTTTTGACATTGAACTATTATCCGCGGAAGAGTTTTTTTCTTAAACAAATTATGCAGATTTAGAAGTAGTACCTGCTCTTTTCGGTGGCTTCGTCAAATAAAATGTATGAAGGAACAAAGTATAATGTTGACCAACCTCTAGATGGATGAAACACAAAAGCAAGTAGTTAAATTAAAGCTGTTTGTTTTATGCTAATAACTCATTTCGATCTTCCAATATTATAAGACTACATTTAATACATGCAAGCTGTTATCCATGGGTAAAATAAACGCAGTTAGATGAATATTTTCAAATTAGAGCTGATTAGATGCACCATAAAACAAGTTTTTCTCCAGCGATTTTCGACAAATGAATTTTATACCTCGTCTGATTTTCCCGTGAAATCTTCGTAAACCTAACGCGTAAACAATTACTTGGACAAATATTTTGGTGGAAATAAAATAAACGTACCAACAATTATTCCATTGTTCCGGCTGAGCTTTGAAAGCTTAACTGCGTATAATAAGCTAATGTGAAAAACTTTGTGGTGAAAGGAAGAATTTTCTCACAGATATCGAAAAGAATAGCAATGAATGGAAGTTTAGAATGCCACATTCAAGTCTGAAATCCGCGCGTTAAATATACGAATTAAGACGCTAAAAGCGTGAATAAGATATCGATGTTAAACAAATTTTCTAGCTTTTTTAACATATAGGCTCTTTTTATATGGTTTCGGAGGGTTTTTAGGGGGCTGCCAGCTGCAAAAGCTGTCTTTTCACCGGTCTCTCTCGTGATAGCTAGGCAGGTTAGACGCTACTTAAAGTCCGATTATAATAATGATGATGATGATTATTATTATCATTATCATAAATTAATTTCATTAAAATCATTATAGTTATCATTATTATTATATTAGACAAAATTTAAGCCTTCCCGTCTCGGGCAGACGAGCCGAAGTATTTATATGAGAAGTTGTCCCCCCTGACATGGCTACCCTTCCTGCCGAGGCAGGATAACTCGACCTTCCGAGGCGAGTTCGACATTTTCTTGAAAATGTTTAGTTGAGGCTTTCAAAGAAATAAGTGAAAAGCTAGCCCGGTCAGGGAAACTCGGGGGGGGGGGGGGGGGGAAGGTTGTCATGGTTATCCGAGACCATGTAAATTCTCCTCACACCGTTCGAATTAAAAAAAGAAATATGGGTATTTTTTTTCTTTCTTGTCTTTCAATAACGCTGACTACCCTCTTGACAACTTCGCTAGTCTTGAGTTATCATTTTGCGAGGAAATAATATGATAGAGGCAAGAACAAGAAGAGATAGTTTCAAGTCATCAGATAAAAATATCATTAATGAATGAATGCCTGACAAGGGGAGGACGAGGGAAAAATTTGGAATTTAACACAAGCATGAAAGTTTGGAAAGAATTGTTTAAACTCAGTAATCATCCGAAAGGACAAAATCTGACACAAATTATTGTTTTATGTGCAAAACATTTAACGAACAGTTGAATTTATCATCAGTTTTTTTCCAATGTTCATTTCGTGTGTATATGTTTACATTAACACTTTAAGCAAAATTTAAAAACTTGTTAATTAGAATCTAATTCACCCTTGTTGTTTGGCCAGCTTTCGACTGAATGTGTAAAATTTCAAAGCACCTGTAACGTCAACAAATACTTACTTCGACTGGTCATTTTCAATAAGAAACGCATTTATTTTCGCAAGGTTCAAGATGGCATTAATACGACTTTGGGGCAAGTCAGGCGTATTAAGACTTCCAAAAAATGAACATAAAGAGGAATTCTTCAAAGCACCTTCCATCAGTTGTTCAATTTCTTTCCCAGTGACTCCCCTCTTGCTAGAGAACGATGTGAGCAAGGATATGGTTTGCTTAATGTGGAATTCAGTCGAGAGATGAGATGTAAATTATATTTATGAACTGTCAATGGTAGCGTCTTTTTCGCTGGCCATTGAAAAGATACCGCACAAACAACAAATTGTGCATACATGTTTTTTTTTTTCGTAAGTTCACCAACACCAGTAATATTTTTGTTGTTCCGTTATTTTGAAAGTTATTTCGCATGATACAACAGAAGATTCAAAATAATGCGACAAATCTTTCACTAATTCAAGGGCAGAACAGCTGCCGGTAGTCAAACGCACCTCCTTGCTAAGAATGTAGGCGGGGAAACACGAACGAAAAGAAAATTTATATACCAAAGCATGCACACTTTTGGAAATAACTTGTGAACAATCTATATTAATCTAAGTTTATTTTGAGCAATTTCAAATAAATTTCTAATCAGAGAAAAGGATGCTAGAACAATTCATTTCTGAAATGTGAATAAAATGTGTATTCTGAACTGTTGCACTGTCCTCTTGCTAGAGAACGACATGAGCAAGAATACAGTTTGCTTACTTTGGAATTCACTCGAGAGATGAGATGTAAATTATATTCATGAACTGTAGTTGGATAGCATCTTTTTCGCTGGTTATTGAAAAAGATAACCCCCAAGGCCAAAACATCTGAACGTTTCGTATAACCTTCACTGATAAAAACGGACTTTCATCCACTAAAGGAACTCTGTTCGAACAGAATGTCAGCTTCTCTTAAAGTTGTTTGATATTTTTTTTAACCATTTTGCATTAAGATCCAAAACTAAGAGAAATCTTTTGACGTTCGAAGAAGGACACAATGTGTCAATACTACATTTGAATATCAAAAGGAACTTATTTGTTGACAGCTGGCAGAGGAAGAACGTGGAAAATCATTCAATTATCTCTCGCCTTAACATTTTCTCCAAAGCAACTCCTTCATTTCTGCAATCTCCCGCTTCAATTTTGGCGGGTATCTTAGAAAACCACATCAGAGACTTCAATTAAGAACGTGGTGAAATGAAAAATCGATACTCAGAAAAATATCAGTGCTTGTACGTAAAATTTGTGGGAAATTTCCTAACCTCTCTGACCAAAACAAAAACATAAACTTATCATATGTAGCTCCCAAGCGACGGCTTTAGGTGGTAGGGACAGCGACTGAGTCTCTTCCATTTTTTGTAATTCGAATACATCTCTGACAATGATACTAAACCCGCCTTCTGATTTAAATATTTTCGAAATTCTGAACAACACTTTTTCCATGGTGCCGTCCTTGATACCTTCGTCGTGTGAGGTATATTTTGTGGAAAATCTCTCCAACCATGTTGCGGTAAAATTGACCATAAATTTCGAATTGGAAAGAAAGGTGTTTTCCTCTCATTAGGCTCTGAGTAATAACTCTGAGTGACGTAAGGTTAGTTAAGTTCAATAATATTTCCTGATCTAGTTTTCTACTTCATTTCAACTCATCGGCTCCTAGAAAATTTACATCGAGCAAACATCAACCAAGTTGGTCGTTATGATTAAAAACATAACAATCAAAGCACTTTTGATATTCTTTCCGTAAGGCACTGTAATAAAAAAAAAACTTGAAAAAAAATACATATATACTTGACTATTTGAGCCCCTTTTGAGCAAAGTGGTTTGTTTTCTGTGACATATACAAATAAGATTGTGCATGCATAAGTTTGTACTGCTCCAATTATCTTGACGAGTATGATATGGCCTTGGGCATTTTACACTTGAACCTGTAAAATTAAGTTCTTAGGGTACCTAGTGCTTAGGGTTTCGTAAGATAAACGTTTATTATCAAATACACACGTTATATCCTCAATGTGAATCAACGCTTTATTCATTCGATGGTTGCGTGGGAAGCTTGATGAGTTTCTTCATCATGCATTTCACGATTTCTCGAAGCTCGCGATATCTCCAGCAGTAAACGAAGGGGTTGATTGATGAATTCAGAAGAACGAGAAACGAAGAGACATGATGCGCTGCCAAAGATGTGGATCGATAATGGCTCACTGTCAGAAAAATTATGGAACACAAGTTTGGCAGATAACAAGCCACAAAAACAATTTGAATAAACAAGGAATTTATCATTGACTTCTTTTCTCGGAGAGCTTCCATCGCTTGACGATTTCGAAAATAACATTGGTCAAGTATCTTAATACGATGATAACGAACGACTTTGCAAGTGTAAATGTAGACAACGGTTGTCACGAAAAGTCCACCAAATTGAAAAATGGCTACCACCAGATGATTCTGCGTAGGAATGGAAATGTTCACGGGGAAAGCGACGGCAAAGCTTGTCGACCACAAAGTGATCAAAAATGTAACAGCACGACCAGGAGTAACGAGTTCTCTGTATCGCAGGTGAAGAAATATCGCAAGAAGTCTATCCACAGCGATGGCGATCATCGTAAGGAAAGATGCGCTGGTGAGAAGATATATGCAAAAATAATTTACAGTCAAGATGATGGGACATAAAAAGTCAGAGCTGTCTCTTTCATTGCTTTCCTTCTTCAAAAGTTCTAATATGACTATACCATACATAGGCTGAGCGAGAACGCCCACGCCAAGATCAGAGGCGGCAAGGCTTAGATAGAGTTTTTTCAAGGTACTTGGTATAGATGATGCTCTCCATAAAGCTCCAATAGCCAGGATATTGGCAAAGATTGCCACTACAGCAAACGCCAAGTTCAAAATGGCAAAAATGAGAACTGTGGTCCCATAAGAATGCACAAGTATTTTATATTCTTCAAGTCTGCGTCTGCAGAGCTCCATGCATTTGAGTTAGGGAAACACAAACCCTTTGCCACCCGTTTCTTCAAGATCACTCATCTTCCACCGAATCTCCTGCATAAAATTAAAAGGTAATACAATCGTCTTACAACGTAGAAAATTAATTCACAGAACCGTGATAGGGCACCTGTTTGCATCGGCCGATCGCTGCAAGTTCTTATCAACGTTGAAGAGCATCTTTTGTTGCTCAAAGTTCTGCTTTGGTTTAAGATTTAAAGTTACCTTTTCTTGATTTTCTGCTCTCGAGTAATTTATCTTGTTGTCAGACGAAAGAAGCGACATCTCGCCACACACCCCAAGAGCTCAAATACACATCAAGAGAGCTTTTGACGTAGAATGGACTATTCTTTATCATGAAATTTGCACATCATGGTAGCCCGACTATAATACAGAAAATGACACCCTGTACCTTCTGAACAGGTAAAAAATGAAGATCAATCTTGTCAACAAAGATTGTATTAAAACCGAGTCTTATCAAGTATTAAATCGATTTGGGGATAGTCTCCATCAACTTCCAAAATGCAAAACTTGTCATGAAGTGCAAATATCACGTATCCAATGTAAAAGGTGCAACATTTTAAGTAGGTAGGCGCATACTTCATTGTTTTCTTCAAGATTTTAAAATTCAGGGTTAAATCTTTTAAAACTATGATTCTGTAAATAAAATGTCTAATTTCAGTTTTAAGTTTCAAAAGCGATTGGAAAGAACACAAGAAAAGAACGATTCACATTTCATTACGAAATACAGGGTTGCGTAAGTGGAAAGTGTCTAAACTTCCTATGATGGGGTTAATTTCCTAGGAGAGATTGCAAAAGTCCTGTCGGTTTTAATATGACGGAAATGCTGAGAAAATATAATTTTCTTTAGCAACGCTGGCTGTCAGAACCCTTTTAGCTTCAATCAATACAAATTTATCATTTCTAAGGCACATCTCCGGAAGGGGTTATTTTTGCCCGACAGTAATTAAGAAGCTTGTTCGGGTTATTGGTATGGTGTAATTGTGTGCATTACTTCTAGAAATTAACAAAATCAGTAGATATCTATCTTCGCGTTTTGTAGAGAATAGTCCAACAAAGGATATGTTAATCCAAGTTCACTTTTACAAGAATTGATGGAATAAGCTGAAAGTTTATTAACCTCAGATGAAAATTTTAAATCTTTAGAACGGCGGTACTGAGTTGTCATACACGAAATTCGTGGGTTAACACTGAACATTGATCATTTTAGAGAAAACAAAGGTTCCTGCGAGCCAACTGTTAAAATTGGTTTTTAAACTATTCGCATATCATAATTGGAAAACGCGACGTAATATCGAGTGTCCAGTCCCAACAGTGAGTCCTACATGCTGTGATATGGTCGTACTTATAAGCACAAAGTTTCATAGACAGGAATAAACTCGGGAAATTTCAACAACAGTTTCTTCTTTACTTGGTAAACTGAAGCTTTTACATTAATTTTCTTTCTTTGTAATCTATAAAATTGACACAATTAATTGAGCTGTCGCCTTCTCATCGCCGTAAATGCCATACCGAGCACAGAAAGAGCTGTCAAGGCGGCCAGAGCAGTAAGAATTGGGATGTTCATATCCGCTGAAAAGGAAAAGACATTCACAGTACAGTCGTTATAGAAAATTTCCGGTGTAAAGTAAGCTTATTTCTGATGGGAATTTCTTTTAAAGGAATTCACAAGGAAGTAGTCGATCCACACAAATTTTACTTTATCAACTTTAAAAGTGTAATGTTTTCATTGGGATTAATTTTTGTACGTTTAGATTATCTGTCTGTGATGATGGAAGAAAAATATTTTGATTTCCTTCATATCTTCGGCTTTAGCTTCGTAAATTTAATTTTTTTTTATATTATTATTATCGGATCTTACAATACTAGCTTCTCTTTATGCTTTTAATTAATCGGAAATTAAATTTTCCAAAGCTGAATATTGGGCTAATTTTGTATTAATTTTCTCTCGTATTTCCGTGAGTTCTGACACCAAAACTTAAATCAATAAAAGAAGTCTTGATTTTAATCAAAGTTATAGTCGTAATGCTTGTCATATTCTCATCCACTATTCCTTATTAGACCGTTTGTCCTAGAGCCAACCTTTAAAATCAGAAAAAAAGTTAGGAACTCACAAATTACCTTCTGTGGCCGGTTTATCATTAGTATTTTTTTCATCTTGTTCAAAAGTATTCTGATAGTCTAGTGTTATTGGTCCTTGTGCTAGCGAATACACTTTTTGTTCTTCAAGCTCACGCCTCACTCGGCCACCCGATTCGCATCCTCGGGCACACCTCGACTTGCGGTCAGATGCTTTGCAGATAACCACGTGACAGTGTATAAAAACGAAGGGCTGCTTGACGAATTGAAAAGTTTCGAGACTGAAACGAGATTTGCCTCCTGAGGAGGGAAGCTGTTGGACTGTATCGTCGACAGCACAGCTGTAAGATTAAAAAAATGATGAATTAATAAAGTAACCAGGCGCACGTACCTCGGACCTATTTTCCGTTTGTAGGAAATGTCTTTTCAATGGTATGTAAAATTGACGAAAGATTTTTTTAGGGCAAGAAAAGAGAAAGATACTGATGTAACAGGCTTACCCATCAGAAATGATTTCATGTTTTGTGGCATCACTCTCGTTGGCAGTGGGCGTGGCAAAACAATTTTCAAGCAGAATTGATAGCTTTTTATCCTTGCTGTCAACTCTTCCTTGTACGAACATACTTTGGCGGAGTTTCAAAGAAATAGGAAAATCATCGGATTTGTACGGTGTGGTGAATCTGCAAAAGAAGTTATTCATGCGGAAGCTTTTTTTGCTCTAAATCAATAACTTGTCTATAAGTAGACGAATTTTATTTCGCACTATCATTTTCAATAAGGAAAGCTTTTGAAATAGAAAAGGTCTGTTAGGTCATTTTTCCGTGTCAATGTGCTGATCGAACGAGAAATGCAAGTTGAGGTTTTGTCTTTTTATTTCCATGAACGAGTTACGGTATTTAAAGATTTCTAGGACCTGGTATTAAAGTCATCGTTTTCAATGATTTTCAGCATAGGACACAATCTAAGTATTGCAAATTTTAGGAATGTTTAACGCGTGAGCGCTCCTCGTTATTTGTTATTTCAAGGGAGTTAAGCTAAAAATGAGTTAAACTCGAAATGAGCCCTTTAATATTACCTTTGACTGTGAAATATCTCCAAGACAACTGTAAATTTTCCCTTCCCTTTTTCCATGAAGACCAGTTTTCTGTTCTTTGGTTTTAATCCAACAGCCGTAGCCAATCTACTGTTGGAATAATAGCAACTGAATGGGATCTCAATCTCTCTGACGCGTGTGATGAGACCAGATTTTTTCAGTGGAATCTCTAGGACCTTGTTACTGTACGCAATGGCAGCCTTGGTATGCTTTTTTCTGGTGCCACAGCCAGTCAGCGGCGTTTTGAGATAAAAATGCGTTTTAGTCTCTGTTGCTCCACACTTCGGGTCCAGGAGGCGAAGATGTTCTCTGTCCATTCCTTTGAGTATGAGCTTGGGGATACTAATGGACATGTCATTTTGACGACAATCCACAGTGACTCCTTGGGCTACAAAAAGAATAAATTGTGTTCGTTGTACACAATAATAATTTTTCAATGGATTGTCACAAGCAAGCTTGGTTTATACTGGCTTTACTTTATACTTTACAGCCATCTAAACCGATCAGAGGCAAAGTTAATACCACTCACGACCTGGTCGCTACAGTTTCCCACGCTTCAGATAACTCACTTGTTTTTACTTTGCCTTCTTTAGTAATAGCGCAAAATATGATTTTGCAGACATTGGACGGTAACTCATCAGGCTTTCAGAAATGAACGAGACGACATTTTGTCATTACATGAACTTCTATGAGAACTTCAAAGAGCTAGGAATAAATACTAAAGCTGAAACCTTATTTTCTATTAACTTTAATAGCAAAGGAATATCTTTTTAGAAACACATTTTCCGAAATAATTTCTTTTGAATAAATTAGTTTTTTTATTCCCATTGAGTTTTAGGAAGCCGAAAAACAGTTAAATCTAATTCAAATGAAATGTAGTTTATAGATATACTCGTATAATCGTATTTTTATGTTTTACATTGGATTGTAAAGTTATTTCCGGGGCTTTTCCGGCTGCAATTTACCTTCACAAGTGTGTTTATCATCAGCTAATGACAGCTCTGCATCAGGACAAAGACATTCATAACTTCCATCTGTATTGCTACAGTCGTGTGAGCATCCACCATTGTTGTCTGCACATTCGTCGACATCTGTGAGAACAGTTCAACTAAAATTAATATTACGCGCGCTGTGATTGGTCAATGCTTAAGATCCCTCAAAGACCGACGTCATGAGAGCCTCCTCCTTTGTTTTGCCCAAAATGCCGCACAGCTTGCAAAATAGGTGTGTTGCTATTGTACGCAAACAATATCCAAATGTCGTTTGGTGACAATTTTTGTTTTAACTTTATTTTGACATCAGCTAAGGGATGTCACGTAACAGACAAACGATAAAGGTCAGCAAAATGAAGGAAAAATCACAAAAATGTCCCATTTTATTCAAATATGTCATATTTAAGAACTACACTTGACATTTATCTGAGGCTCTTTCACGTGGCCTTCACTTGTAAAATAGATGCAAATAAGTAGAACAAGTGAAAGATGATATCCTCGCTTACCTTTGTTGCAAATTTTTCCGGTGGTGCCCGCCGGGCATTTACAAGTGAAATCATTCCCAGGGAACGGCAGACATTTCGCTCCTCTCCTACAGGGGTTGAGGATACACGGGAAGAATGGGGGAACTAGAGAAAATTTTCGACCAAAACGAGATACATAAAGTAAACAGGCAATTTCAAATGTCCTCTTCTATACCCCTTATTTCATCAAAACAGTCTCTGTGCTATGTTACTTAGACGCAAATACAAGAAGCAACTGTAAAACGCTTTTTTAAGGCTAAGCGAAGAATACAGATGTTCAAAGTAGATTGATTAAAAAATAATAATAAAGAAATAAATGTTCTTGAACAGCGAAGTATTATGTCACTCATTCTATGTATCTTGACAACAAATATACTAACCACCAGACGATTCATCTTCTATGAATGTTTTTTCATGAAGAAAATCAATGCTTCGTCGTCCCCTTTCAGTTGCAGCAGTGTGATCGAGTGACTCCACGTTACCGTTAACAAGGTTGGTACAGCTAAAAACCAACGTTATTACCGCAATAACCTTCATGTTTCAAAACTCACAGCCTCAGAACTAAATTGCCTCCGAAAGTAAAAATCAAAGCAACTAACCTAAACATCACAGCCATCTAGTAGGCCATTTTATAGGCAGAGGAAAAATATCGTCATCAAAAGAGACAAGCCGGTTTTT